TAATATTGGTTCATAACTGTACACTTTATTATTTTATAAAATGTAAAATTCATTACTGTAAAAATGATTACAAATCTATGGCAATGGGTTTACAATCCATAAAACAGTAATTTGAGATGTCAATGACAAAAAGGGAGTGGCATAACTAAAAGAATAGTTTGTCTATGTGATTGTAGTTAAATTGGTATCAGATTATAATAGTTTATGATTAAGGTGTTGCATGTAATTTTCATAGTAACTACAAACAAAATATCTATAGAATATTTTCAAATGGAAATGAATCCAAAACTTGAATCAAAATATCAACAAACCAGAAAGACAATAATTGAGTAAATGAGAGACAAAGAAAAACCTATTATGAGTCGTACAGAAAACAGAGAATACAATGGCAGTTTTAAGTCTTTTCTGTAAGTAATAACTTTTATCATAAATGAATTAAACTCCCTAATCAAATGATATGGATTCACAGAACAGATGTTTTTCAAAATTCAGACTATATGCTGTCTAGAAAGAACCCACTTCAGATTAAGGACATTCAAGGATGGAAAGAGACATTTCATGCAAATTGCAACCAAATGAAATCAAGGGTAATTATATTGTTTCAAACATAATAGACTTTAAGTAAAAAAGAAAAAAATTGTTACAAAAGACAATGCAAACCCTGGCCATTGTGGCTCAGTGGATAGAGCATTGGCCTATGCATTGAAGAGTCATGGGTTTGATTCCCAGTCAAGGGCACATATCTGGGTTGCAGGTTTGATCCCTGACCCAGGTTGGGGTCCTACAGGAAGCATCCAATCGATGTATCTCTCTCACACAGATATTTTTTTCTCTCTCTCTCTTCCCCTCCCTCCCTTTCCCTCTTTCTAAAAATTAATAGAAAAACATCCTCAGGTGAGGATTAAAAAACAAAACAAAACAAAAAAAGCCAAGTCAGACTTTACTGCCTATGATTTCTTCTAGGAGTTTTGTGGTTTGGGGTCTTACATTTAAGTCTTTAATCCATTTTGTGGTTATTCTTGTATATGGTGTAAGAATATGGTCTAGTTTTATTTTTTTGCATGTGTCTGTCCAATTTTCCCAGTACCATTTATTGAATAGTCTTCATCCCATTGTATATTCTTGTGTGTTTTGTTAAATATTACTTGACTATATAGGCATGGCTTTATTTCTGGACTCTCTAATCTGTTCCATTGAACTATACTTTTGTTTTTATGACAGTACCATGCTATTTTGACTATGACCTTATAGTGTAGTTTGGTATTAGGTAGCATGATTCCTCCAAGTTTGATCATCTTTTTCAAGATTGATGTGGCTATTTGGGATCTTTTGTGGTTCTATATCAGTTTAAACATTATTTGTTCTAGTTCTGTGAAAAATGTCATTGGTATTTTGATAGGGATTGCATGAAATCTATAGATTGCTTTGGGTAGCATGGACATTTTAATGATGTTAATTCTTCCTATCCATGCACATATTTCCTTCCATTTATTTCTATCTTCTTTAATTTCCTACTGCAATGTCTTATAATTTTCTAAGTACAGGTTTTTCACCTCCTTGGTTAAATTAATTCTTAGGTATTTTTTGAGGCAATTGTAAATGGGATTTTTCCCCTTATTCTCTTTCAGATAGTTCATTATTGCCGTATAAAAATGCAATTGATTTCCGAATATTGATCTTGTATTCTGCTACATTACTGAATTGATTGATAAATTCTAGTAGATTTTTGGTGGAATTTTAGGATTCTTCATGTATATATTATCACGTCATCTGCAAATAATGACAGTTTTACATTTTTCTTTTCAATTTGGATGCCTTTTATTCTTTTACTTCTCTGATTTCTGTGGCTAGGACTTCCAATACTATGTTGAATAAAACTGATGAAAGTGGACAACCTTTCTTGCTCTTGATCTTAAGGAAAATGCTTTTAGCTTTTCCACTGTGAGTATGATGTTGGGTCTGGGTTTGTCATATATGGCATGTATTATGTTTAGTTCTGTTTTCTCTACTCCCAATTTGCTGAGATTTTTTTTTTTTTAATTATAAATGGATGCTGGATTTTGTCAAATACTTTATCTGCATATATTGATATGGTCATATTTTTATCCATCATTTTGTACCATATTTATTGATTCACAGATACTGAATCAACCTTTCCTCCTAGGAATAAATCCTACTTGATCATGAAATGTGATCTTTTTAATGTGTTTATGCATTACATTAATATTTGCCAATATTTTGTTGAGGATTCTTGCATCTATGTTTTTCAAGAATATTGGCCTATAGTTTTCTTTCTTTTATAATTCATTGTCTGGTTTTGGAATTAGGGTGATGGTGGCCTGGTAAAATAAGTTTGGGAGCCTTCCCTACTCTTGAATTTTTAAAAATAGTTTAAGAAGAATAGGTGGTAAAATTCACTTGTAAAGCACCTGGTACAGGATTTTTGTTTGTTGGGAGCTCTTTTATTTCATTGGTAGTAATTGTTCTGTTCTTTTTCTATTTAGTCTTAGAAGATTGCATGTTTCTAAGAATGTATCCATTCTACCAGATTGTCCAAATTGTTAGGATGTTATTGTTTATAATATTTTCTTTTTTAAAAAGAGGCATGCTTTATTGATATTAGTAACAGTAATGCCAGTTTGATGGTTGTTCAGATATAAAGTTGTTGGATAGGTAATACACACACACTGTCTCTCTTTCATATTTGAGTATGAAAGAGTTTAGAACAAATAAAATAAACCATTAAAATTGGATGATTTTTCTCACATCTTTTTACTTAAAAAAGTCTGTGAACATGTACATGTGGAAAGAAAGATAAAGTTCCCTGCCCTACAGATCCCCATCTGCTATACTCATAACTGTTTCCTTTTTTTATTAATTTATTTTTGTTACAGATGTTTCTCCTCTTTTTCCCCATTGACACACTCCTCCCCATCTCCCCCACCCTGTCCCTGGCTTTGCTGTCTGTGTCCATCGGTTATGCGTACATGCATATAAGTTCTGTGGTTTATCTCTTTCCTCCTCATATATATATATATATATATATATATATATATATATATATATATATATGAGAATACCTAAGATAATTAGACATTGACTGTTTGATTAACTCAATAAGTGTCAGACTTTTACTTGAGCAGAAGGAAGCTTAAGAAAAGTAAATTATGTGAGACCTGAGTGCTTTTACGTCTGAAATGCCAAGGGATTATTCATTCCAAAACAAATAAATGAGTGCATTTTGTAGCAAGCAATTTTTAAGAAAATGTATACCATGCTACCCTGATTGTCCAAACAATATTGTGACTGAATGTCCCAGAGTCTTTAAAGGTTAAGAACATTCAGAGATGAATTTTTTATTTGAATTAAAAAGACAAAAAGAATAATGTCACCCTCGGCCAATTGTCTTAAAAAAAAAAAAAAAAAAAACAACCACAGGATGAGTTGTTGGTGAGGGAACCTAAAAGTAATCCTAACTGGTGGAAAAGGATGCCTAGAAGCAAGAAAGGTGACAAGCATAGTACTTAAGCGTGTTCACCAAACCATCAAATTTTTAAACTTCCACTGATTACAAGTCTCTGTGCTTGTGTTAGTATTTAAATCCACCCTTGTGTGTTGTTGAAAAGTGACTTAGACGTATTTCAATATTGTAAACTCAATAGTCATCATATTGGTCTAAATAGTCAAAGGGTGTACACTTCCAGTTAGAAGATGAATAATTTCTAGGGATCCAATGTACAGCACTGTGACTAGTTAGCAATACTGTATTGTATGCTTGAAAATTGCTGTGAGAATGGAACTTAAATGTTCTTGACGCACGTGCACAAAATGGTAACCATGTGAACTTGTAGGTATTTTAACTAATCTCATTGTGGTAATCATTTCACACTATATACATATATGAAATCATCATGTCGTACACCTTAAAATTACACAGTGTTGTCCAGCTGGAGTAGCTCAGTTGGTTGAATGTTGTTCTGTGCAATGAAAGGTTGCCAGTTCAATTCCCGGTCAGGACACATACCCGGGTTGCAGGTTTGATGCCTGTTGGGGCACATATGGAAGGCAACTGATCGATGTTCTCTCACTCTGATGTTTCTCTCTCTCTCTCTCTTTATATATATATATATATATATATATATATATATATATATATATATATGTCTCCCCTCAGGTGAGGATTAAAAAAATGAAAGGAGCCCTGGCCGGTTTGGCTCAGTGGTTAGAGCATCAGCCTGTGGTCCAGAGAGACCAGGGTTCGGTTCCCACTAAGGGCATGTGCCTCGGTTGCAGTTTGTCCTCGGCCCTGGTTGGTCGTGCGGGTGGCAGCCACTCGATGTGTCCCTTTCACGTCGATGTTTCTCTCTCTCTCTCTTATACTCTCTCCCTCCCACTCTATCTGTACAAAAAATGGAAAAATATCCTCAGGTGAGGATAAAAAAAAAATTGAAAGGAATATTAAAAAAATAAACTTATACAATATTATATGTTAATTAAGTATCAATAATTCTGAGAAGGAAATATGCATATTTTCTCGATGGGTTTGACATATTGTAAAGAATGTTATGGAACTCTAAAGCTTAAGATTCTTCAAGAAATATTTCTGATGTTTAATAAGTACAGCATGGAGAAGCCCAGGTCATAATCAAATCTGAAACATATTGTGAATCCTGACTATAATATCAGGCCTAATGTCATAATTGTGATACCAATAAAAATTAAATATAGATGCTGGCATTCTGAAGTTTATATTTGTGCATATGACTATTAATACTAGCCCTGCAGCTAAACCGTACATGGTATGGTTCTATTCTTGATATAAATGCTAACCATGACATTTTCATACAAAATAAGGCAGCAATCATAGTAAATGCTGAGAATTGGAGTGAAAAGTTTAGCTTACTTTAATCCAATTTATTTCTTTTAGAAGTCGATGTGCCTACATTTTAGCACACTCACTAGGAGAATAAACCATATTCTCACTCTTATCCTCCTTTCAGATTGCATGCACAACATCCTGAAGAAATGAATCTCAGTATATCTGAGGAGCAGTTCCATGCTGTAAACCATGCAGAGCAAACTCTTCATAAAATGGAGAGCTACCTGAAAGAGAAACAACTGTGTGATGTGCTACTCATTGCTGGACACCTCCGAATCCCAGCTCATCGGTAAGTATCTTTATGTGGACAGAACGTTGGGTAATTATAGCAAGTATGGATGAGAAAGAATCTGTCCATTGATTACAAATTGGAACACTGAGGGAAATACATTTTTACCACCCTATATTAAAAAGCCTTATCATATATGATTCACTTCCCTGTGGCATATTTAGAAGATCCAAACTTTTGAGAAATGGATGAAGAAAAACAGCACAAATCCTCTAAAAGTTTATCAACTTACTATTTGCCTTTCTAATTGCACTACACTTTACTGAACTGTGAAAGTTTTATACAAAAAAGGCTCATCAGTTTTACAAACTTACTGACCTCATTTCATGCTTTTCAATAAGATGATGGACTGATTTAAGTTTCTATGAAACATTCTTATTTGCAGGTTGGTTCTTAGTGCAGTGTCTGATTATTTTGCTGCAATGTTTACTAATGATGTGCTTGAAGCCAAACAAGAAGAGGTCAAGATGGAAGGAGTGGATCCTAATGCACTTAATTCTTTGGTGCAGTACGCTTACACAGGTAAGCGCTTGGCATATATTAATTAATTTAATCCTTAAAATAATCCTACATTATATAACTCACATTATTACTATTATTATTATCCTACAAGTAAAAAAAATGTTAAGAATATACCACTTAAGTAAATTTTCTAAAGTAATAAGGGGCAGAATCAGGACTTAAATTCAATACTCTAAAAGAAAAAGAGGTTAGAAATAGGCTATAAAATTACGATCATAAGAGAATAGAGCCTTTTGATCACAAATATATAAAAACATGTCTCTTTCTCTCGAACAATGTGGGTACATTCTCATTTGGTAAAATGAGAAGTGGGATATTTTAACTTTACATTAAAAATTTAGTCAGTCTCTTCCTTTGAAATATTTAAGTTATATTTACTCAGATTACAAAACAAAGGTAACAGGATGAGTTTGGTGACCAAGTAGTATATATGTATGTATGTATGTATATGTGTGTTTATGTATGTATGTATGTATATGTGTGTTTATGTATGTATGTATATATTCATTCATTCTAACTTTATTTACAAATAATTTAAAAATATAATTGTATGTATTTAAAGTATACAGTGTGATTATTTATATATATATAATTAACAAGATCAAGATAACTAAGGCATACATCATCTCAAATAGTTCACTTTTTTTGTGTGTGTGGTGAGAACAACTAAGATCTGTTCTCAGCGACTTTCAAGAATACAATACTAAGTTAACTACAGTCACCATGCTGTACATTAGATCCCAGGACTTCTCATACTTGAAAGTTTGGACCATTTAACCTATATTTACCATTTCTACCTCCCACCCTCTGGCACCCACCAATTTACTTGCTTTTTCTATGAAACTAGCATTTTGTTTAATGGTACATTCAAGTGATAATATATTTTCTGTGTCTGGCTTATTTCACTTAGCATAATGCCTTCCAGGTTCATCCATGTTGTCACAAATGGCAGTATTTCTATACTTCTCATGTCTGAATAATATTCCATTTTATATATGTATATATATAAAACTCCGTTTACATATATACACTTTTTTTTAAATCAATTCATATGTCAGAAGACAAGTAGGTTGTTTTCATATCTTGGTTCCTGTGCATTATGTTGCAATAACCATCAGAGTTTAGAAATCTCTTCAAGATTCTGGTTTAATTTCCTTTAGATATTTACCCAGGAGTGGGGTTTCTGGATCATACAGTGGTTCTGTTTTGTTAAAAATATTTTAGAAACCTTCATACTGTTTTTCATAATGGCTGTATCAATTTTCATTTCCACCAACAGTGCACAAGGGTTCCCTTTTATCCAAAGCCTCACCAATATTGGTTATCCCTTCTGTTATATTAGCCATCCTAGCAGGTGTGAGGTGATACCTTATTGCAGTTTTTATTTGAAGTTCCCTGATGAGTAGTGATGTCGAGAATGTTTTATGTCCTTATTGGCCATTTGTATGTCTTCTTTGGGAAAATGTCAGTTCATGCCTTTGCCCATTTTCCAATTAGATTGTTGTGTTATTGAAATGTATAAGGTATAAGTCCTTTATGTATCTTGGATTTTAACTCTTTATCATGTATATGTTTTGCAAATAGTTTACCTCATTCAATCAGTTGCTTTTTTGGTATACTTTTTGTTTTCTGTGCTGTGCAGAAGCTCTTTAGTTTGATGTAGTCCCTCTTGTTTATTTTAGCTCTTGTTGCTTATGCTTTGGTGTCTTATCCAAGAAATCATTGCCAAGACCAATGTCAAAGAGCTTTTTTTGTGTTTTCTTCTAGGAGTTTCATTTATACAAAATTAATATTCTTCTTAATAACCAGACCAAATTCCAATGTCTATAGCGGGTGAATCTTTAGGTCTGAATCTGAGACTAGTTCATACTTCTTTGGATCTCATGAGATATAGGCAGGGCTCTTCCTTCAAAATCCAAGACAAGAAACAACACAAGAGAGTCTGCTGATGAACTGGACCCCTTTACAACGTATTTTAGAGGGTAAACCAAATATAGAGCATCTCGCAGTATGTATTACTCTTGTCTTTATAGTTTTGCAACATATAGAATCAATATTGAGGTATTTCACATGGCAGGATTATGCCATTTATAAAATCCATGAAATACCATTCTTTATCACTTACCTATAGCTAGGCTTAAACAAAAAAGTGACAATATGACATTCAAAATAACTAACATTTGCAATAATTCCTCAATAATATTTGCTCCAAAATAATACAGGTATTTCAATAAAAAGGAAACAGTTTAAATTCTCTGATCTCATTTGAAAAGATTCTTTATAGATATTTTTTAAATAGCCTGTTTCTTGTTGTAACTAATGAAATAATCATATAAGCAATTATTTTAAATTTTTTTTTCTTTATTGATTTTAGAGAGGAAGGGGGAAGGAGAGAGAGATAGAGAAACATTGATGAGAGAGAACATTGATTGGCCGCCTCCTGCATGTCTTCCACTGGAGATCGGGCCCACAACCTGGACTATGTGCCCTGACCGAGAATCGAACCAGTGACCTCTTGGTGCATGAGTTCATGCTCAACCACTGAGCCACACCAGCCAGGCAAGCAATTTTTATTTAAGGACTGTTGGCAACATTTTCTTTCTTTTGAGATATTGTCAGGCATCAATTACAGGCATAATATTTGGGTAAAGTTGTCCTTCTCAGCTAATAAATACAGATGACAAAATGTCATATAAACTCAGTGTTCTTATTTATGAAGATTTTTTCCACACAAATGACAGACCCCTATATTGGCAATTATAGTACCCTTATACAGTGTTACATAATACTCCTTGAGTCATTATGTGGCGAGTTTTTTTGTATGAGATTTAGATGCAGGTCTAACATGATAAAGAAGTAACAAGTTGTGCCAGGCCAGTGGCTCAGTGGTTGAGCGTCCACCCATGCACCAGAGGTCACTGGTTTGATTCCCAGTCAGGGCACATGCGCAGGTTTTGGGCCCGATCTCCAGTAGGAGGCATAGAGGAGGCGGCCAATCGATGTTCTATCTCATCGATGTTTTTATCTTTCTCTCTCCCTTCCTCCCTCTCTAAAAATCAATAAAGAAAAAAAATTAAAAAAAAAGAAATAACAAGTTGCTCTTCTTTGCACTGATAATATTCAACATTCATTATCTACAGTGGTTTTTGATAATATAGTCTGGCTTCCATCAGCCATCTTATTAGACTTCATACAGTCTCTTGTATATGTTGGCTTTAAATGGTGGTTACTGTACTTTTGAAGACATAGCCTCACTAATGAGAGAAAATGAAAATTTCAACTAGCTAGCATATATGTGTCCTAATTAATGAAACATATAATCATTTTATACATATTGAAACCATCTAGGTATCCTGCAATTGAAAGAAGATACCATTGAAAATTTGCTGGCGGCAGCTTGTCTCCTACAACTGACTCAAGTCGTTGAGGTCTGCTCCAATTTTCTCATAAAGCAGCTCCATCCTTCAAACTGCTTAGGGATTCGATCGTTTGGAGATGCCCAGGGTTGTACAGAGCTCCTGAGTGTTGCACATAAGTACACAATGGTAATATCAATTGATTCAAATTAATTTGTAGTAATGATGTATTAACCCAATATCTAACTTACTGATATGTTTATGTATGTGTGTGTGTATAGATATATATACACATATGTGTGTGCATAAAACTCTTCAAGTAAATATTTTAGTGTTGGGGATAAAATTAAAAGGCAATATAAACTCATATAATTTACAAATGACTTGCAAATAATACACATTAGATTAAAATATCAGTCTGGTTGAGCTGTACCCAAGCAAGTTTCTCATTTTTGAAACTAAAAAGGCTTACTTGAATCTCAGAGCCTAGAGAAATGAAAATAATTGCCCAAAATTAAATTTTACAAGTACATATTTCAAGTAAAATCCATATGATTAAGAAAATATAGTTTTCCTAATACTTCTGCACTATTCAAACTTGAGTTTGTAAATTGGTGCATAATATGAATTATAATGAAAATATCATTCAATAAAGAAAAATGTGGATTAATACTGACTAGAATGCTTACGAACTATCAAAATTAATAAATCAGACAATTCTATTGAATGGACTTTTTATGTCTTAATAAAAATGTATTTTGGTTAAAAGCAATTTGTAGTCCAATCCTTTAAATTAATTAATTTAAACTGCCTCTCTGTTAGTAATTATAATAAATTAAATAAACAGGTTTATCTATACTAATACTTTGAAAATTCATAGGATAAGACTATGCTTATTCAAACAATTTACAGTGATATGAAACACAGATCATCTGTAGCAAGGCAAGAAAAAGTGGACATATGGTAAACATACCCTTACCATGATCAGGACACACATTGCTTGATGCAAAGAAAAAAAATCAGCTTTTTAACCTCTGAAACAGGAAACAACACAAGAGATGGATCTTTCTGTGAAACCCAATCAAAAGATAAATATTTCAAGCTAAAAAAAATTTATACAGTTACTTAAGATTTAATACTAAAAGGCAAGCGTGTAAAAATGAACAGTAGAGAAAAACATGCTTAAAACAAACAAAATTAATATTAAAACTTTATGATTGAGATGTATATAAAGATTATTTTTCTAGAGTTTTAGACAGACCTTAAAATTTCCAAAGTTCTAGTATTTGAATTCTCTAAAAATTTATTGTAAACTTTCTCCTTCTTCTTTCCATCCCTGGTCAATGTAGAAAATGTGAAGTTTCAAACATATTCCTGAAATAATGCCCTTGTGTGGATAATCGTATTACAATGGATTAGTATTTTAACATGTTATTTAGTTATGCTGTTTATATTACTTTTTCCTAAATACAGATGTGATATAATTTATAGGAACAGTAGATATATAGTTTAAAGGTTAATCCTACCATAAAAGCCAAACATGGAAAGCTTCCTGTTAAATTACTTAAATTTTTGAAGTAAGTATTAACAGTTTCCTGTTTTGTATCTTACTTTGGCAGACAAAACAACATTATAATAAACAGCGTGAATTATTTTTGTGGCTCAAAATCAACTTCTCTTCCTTTTTCTACTATGTGACTGAAACTGAATTTAAAGAAGAATGTGCATAAAAATGCAATATTGTTTTCTTCTTTAATTCCCCTTCTTTAGTTATTTTAGTATCTATTATAAATGGAGTAAAATAGGTAGAGGTCTTGTTATAAAATGCTTTTGTAATACTGTATTGATAGTATAAAAATGCAAGTAATTTTAATGATTCAATTACAATTGTTGGAATCACAAACTATGTAAAAAAGATTACTCTCCCTCATGTGTGTGGGCCTCACCCAGAAACACTCTCAGACACATCCAGAATAATTTTGCCAAAAGTCCAGACATTCCACGGTTCAGTCAAGTTGACACATAAAATTAACCACTGTAATCATATAAACAGTAGTCTACATGGATGAAACATTATTCAGCAAATATGCTACATTGATTTAATAAGTTTTACAACAATGTAAATGTAGATTTACAAAAATGAAAACCAAACCAAAGGTACAAAAAATACTCTTGGTAAGGTGCATAGAAGAAAATGCTTACCTCAAAATTAGGAGCAAACAATTCCAAAATAAAACAATTTAAAATTCATCTTTAAGTTTAACTAAATATTTCTATATAGTACTGTGTATTGTAATGCCATATCTAGATAGTTTCAATCAGTACATTTATTTTTATTTTTTATACTAATTAACTATATTGCCAGGCCATTTTCAGTAATCTCTTCAAGCAGCCACTCTGAAGTCCTAACAAAGTCTATCAAAAAAATTTAATTTCTGGTTTCGGACCCTGGTTCATAGCATAGGGCTGGCTGGTACCAGCCAGTCTGTGTTGGGGCTGGGGTGGGACAATAAACTCCCAGAGTCACCTGGCTTCCCTGGAGCAGCTCCTTTCTCCCTCTTGATGTCCTGGGCTAAGCGGAGTCAAGTTTCCACGCTCAGACCTGGAATAGAGAATAGAACCAAGAGATGAAATAATATTTCTTCTTTTTTTTTTTGTTTTATTGACTTTAGAGAGAGAGGAAGGGAGAGGGAGAGAGAGTCAGAAACATCAATGAGAGAGATCAATTGGCCGCCTCCTGTACGGCCCCCACTGGGGATCGGGCCCACAACCTGGGCATGTGCCCTGACCAAGAATCAAACTGGCGACCTCTTGGTGCACGGGTTGATGCTCAACCACTAAGCCACACCTGCTAGGCATGACACAAAAGATTTAGAACATCACATAAACTTAGTGGATAAAGCAGCAGCAGGGTTCGAGAGGACTGACTCCAATTTTGAAGAAAGTTCCACTGTGAGTAAAATGCTATCAGATAGCATTGTGTACTACAGAGAAATCAGTTGTAAAAGGAAGAGTTGATTTAGCAGCTACTGCCCTGATCAGTCAGTAGCCATGGACATTGAGCCAAGACTCTCTACTAGCAAACACATTGTGTCTCATTGAAGACTCAGATGATGATTAGCATTTTTTAGCAATAAAGTATTTTTAGTTAAGGTATGTTTTTATAGACATAATGCTATTGCATACTTAATAGACTACAGTGTGGTTTAATATAATATTTATACACACTGGAAAGGCAAAAAATTTGTGTGACTCACTTTATTGTGATATTAGTTCATTGTGGTGGTCTGGAATTGAACCTGCTATATCTCTAAGATACACCAATACTTTGCCAGTTACTGCACAGGAGCCCAAACAATTCACATAGCCTGTTTTTCTATCAGCATGAATTTTGCTTCCCATAGGACCACATTGGTGATGACAGTATTTTTTAAAGAAATCCGTTAAGTGTAAAGTGCTGTACACATGTAACATATTATAAGTTGTAGGACTAGCTCCATTATTTTGCTATAGGTTATAGGCTCTTCAACCAAGGTCATCAGATACAGGTAAGAACCTCAGCTCTTTCCCAATTGCTTGCCTTAATTAGAAGAGGGTAGTTTGTCTAAATAGGCAAGTTAATTTTCAGTTGGTATCAGAGCTTCCTGGGTCTGTCCAACTTGATGCTTGTTTATGGATAAGTTTGCTATCAGACTGACTCAGTTCCACAATGATTAAATTCATGGAGGAGCTGAGGAAGGGATATGATTTATCCAGATCCCCCAGTTATACAGAAGTTGTCTGAAACTGCTTCCAGAATATCTATTTATTGTACAATGTAAATTACCAACTAGACACATTTATCTTCATTTCAGGAGCGTTTTTATTGCATTTAAAATTTCAGATCTTTGCTATAAAATATATTGGAAATGATCATTGTGTTGTCAAAGAAAAGTACATAACATAAATCAGAAAAAAATAATCATAGCGGTGTTTCAATAAAAGACAATTGAAACACAGCTGCCTGAAATTTGATGCTTGAAAAAATACAAGACAATATACTGACAGAAGGGAAAATTGAGGTATACTATATAAAAATGGAAAGGTATCCCCATCTCCCCACCCCCCAAAAAAATCCATGGGAGACCTTTTTAGATTATTCTGAATCTGTAGATTGTTGGCCATTGTAAAAGATACCTTTGCCTTGGTTAATAGACGAGCATGATTTCCCATAAAAACAGAGTTTTTCACCGATATTTTAATTTATTTTTTCATCTCAAAGAAATTCAGTATTTTGTTTTGTATGTTGACAGAACGACTGCTCCCAGGTGGCTGAAAACCTCCAATTGGAACATTTTCAGCCTTTCTCTTATGGCTTTTGGCTACAACAGCTGAGAGAGAAAAGCACTTGTATCAACTTGGGCACTATCCATATGAACTATGAAACAGTTAAGATTTTCCTTGTGCTCTTAACTACTTTGCAGTCCAAGCATTTGGCTCATGAGCTTCAGAAGGCTCCCACTTGCCCCTTGACGTAGAAAGCAATAGCACCTATTTGTTATAAAAGCATATATTTGTCTCTGACCTTTTCTGAAGTTTAGCAAAGTGAAGTTCTTGGATATGCTTATTTTGTTAAGAAGTTTCCAAAGTACAAAGTTTCATTAGATGATCTTTTCTAGGAACACTTCATCGACGTAATAAAGAACCAAGAATTCCTCCTGTTGCCAGCGAATGAAATCTCCAAACTTTTGTGCAGTGATGATATCAACGTGCCCGATGAAGAGACCATTTTCCATGCTCTGATGCAGTGGGTGGGGCACGACGTGCAGGCCAGGCAACAAGACTTGGCCAGTCTGCTTTGTTATATCAGGCTGCCATTACTTCCACCGCAGGTATGGAAATCTACCAGCAATGTAATTCCAGTTCAAACTAGTGCTGGGCACTAATCCATTCCTGATTGTTCTGATTTTATTTGATTTCGAGGAAGTTTGGTAATTGAGGTATACAGGATCTGTTTGGTAGAAGGACATACCCAGCCTTCAATTAGCAATATTAATGAAGAAGAGACAGGAAACAAAGATTTTTTTTTAAAGACTACAGATAATCCCCAGACTTCAGTATACTCATTACTTTCGGTTTCCTCTCATCACACAGCATGTGTAACAAGCAGGAAGAATGACTAGGCAAACTTTTTCTCTTCCTGCCCATCTTCTAGGCGAGGTGATAATAATAAGTACAGTAGCATCCCAGAGGGGACTGGAAGAAGGAGTTCAATTCTAGATAATACCTACTAACATGGATAATTAGCTACTATGATTAAAAGCATATTATAGTAGTTTCAGATGCAATATTGTAATGACATCCCATCATGTCTGTTGAAGGCTTAGAGTAAAATGATTCTAAAAACAAACACCCTTGGATAAGACTCAGGATTGACCAAACTCATAATGAATTTTAGTATGTGAAATTGAGTGAGGCTAGAGTGCAGTCTGTATATAATTCTGTCATTGGCGATAACCCCAATTATTTCTCTGTAGCAAATTGACCATTAGTAGATATCATTCACATATTATATATTCATGAATATGTTACACATGTGCGCACTTCATATACTATATAGCTTATGGCTAAAGTCCTCTCAAACATCATCCACTTTGGAAGGAGGGACCTTATCTGTACTTAGTGAGACAGTAGTTTCATAAACATTAAAATTAATTGATTTTGAAAAACTGACTAATTAAATGTTAATGTTGAACTGATGGTTTCTCTAGTTTGTCAACTTTTAGTTGTTAATTAAATCCCATGGAACTACATATTTAATCTTAAGAATCTGTACATATTTAATTATAGCACATTGACTTCCCTCCTGGGTATAGCAAATTTATCCAAAGGGCAAGGCAATAGTAACATCACAAAGAGGGACACTAAAATATATATATATCATCTTAGACCCAAGGTTCAGAAACGATAGAAATTTTATGTGTTCTTGTGAACCTGTATACACTTGTGTGTTATTCTCCTGAGATGGTCTATTTGACTTACCAGATTCTCTAAGACAGTGCTGCTCAAAATGGCCCTGGACCAGCAGCAGAGTGTTGACTGGGAGCTTATTAGAAACTCAGTCTCTCAGGCCCCGGTGACAGACCTACCAAAATAATTTCTGGGAGTGATACCAAGGAATCTGTGTTTTACCAAGTTTTTCAAACAATATGGTGCAGCCACTATGGAAAACACTATGGTGTTACCTCAAAAAATTAAAAATTGAATTGCATTTGACCCAGCGACCCCCCTTCTAGGAATACCCTCAGAAACCTGAAACACCAATCAGAAAGAATATATGTACCCCCATGTTTATAGCAGCACTATTTACAATAGCTAAGATCTGGAAACAGCCCAAGTGTCCATCAGTAGACGAATGGATAAAAAAGCAGTGGTACATGTACACAATGGAATACTATGCAGCTGTAAGAAAGAAAGATCTCTTATCCTTTGAGACGACATGGAGGGGCCTAGAAAGTATTATCCTAAGCGTAACAAGCCAATTAGAGAAAGACAAATATCATATGACCTCACTCATTTGTGGAATATAATAAACAATACAAGCTGATGAACAAAATATACCCAGGGACATAGAAGTAGGGTACAGACTGACAAACCTTACAAGAGGGGGTTGGAGGGAGGGAAGAGATAAACCACAGAACTCATATGCATGTGTGCGTAATCAATGGACATAGCAACAGTGCTGGGGGTGGGCGGCGGGATCGGGAGGAGGGTGTCAATGGTGGGAAAAGGAGAAACATCTGTAACAAAAATAAGTTAATAAAAATTGCAACAAAAAACAAGTTTTCCAGATGATTTTAAGATATGCAAAAATTTAAGATGCACTGGTATAAAAGGATCAGAGACCTTGAACTTTACAAAGCCTTAAGTCTGTATGACATTCCTTCAGCAAAATGCTTAGTTTGAACTTCTCTTTCTTTATTGGAGTGAGGGGAAATTTCCAGCCCAAACAGACAACTGGTGGTACCTTGGCCTCCCACCCCTGGGTAGGCCTTATGCCTAAAATGTGGACAGCGGGAACATTTCCTGCAGATGGTATAGTGAGTAATGGCATACAGAATATAAACTTCCAAAACAATTTTATATATATATATATATATATATATATATATATATATATATTTATATTTTGTTCAGATAGAGTGGGAGAGAGAGAGAGAAACATAAATGTGAAAGGGACACATCAAGTGGTTGCTACCCTCAAAACCCAACCAAGGCTGGGGACAAACTGCAACCGAGTTACATGCCCTTAGCAGGAACCGAACCCGGGTCTCTCTGGACCGCAGGCCGATGCTCTAACTGCTGAGCCAAACCTGCCAGGGTCAATTTTATATTTTTATTCCTCACCCGAGGATATTTTTTTTTCTATTTATCATCAGATAGAGTCGGAGGGAGGGAGAGAGGGAAGGAGGGAGAGAGAGAGAGAGAGAGAGAGAGAGAGAGAGAGAGAGAGAGAGAGAAACATCGATATGATAGAGCCAGTCGACTGGTTGCCTCCCGCACGACCTGACAAGGGCTGGGGATGAACCGCAACTGAGGTACGTGCCCTTGACCGGAATCAAACCTGTGACTCATTGGTCTGTGGGCCCACGCTCTAACGACTGAATCAAACTGGCCAGGGCCAAAAGAATTTTAAAAGTGACTGTAAACAGCCTGGCTGGTGTGGCTCACTGCTTGAGCATTGACCCATGTACCAAGGGGTCATAAGTTCGATTCCTGGTCAGGGCACGTGCCCAGGTTGTGGGCCCAATTCCCAGTGGGGGGCATGCAAGAGGCAGCCAGTCGATGTTCTCACTCATCGATGTTGCTATCTCTCTCCCTCTTCCTTCCTCTCTCTCTAAAATCAATAAAGAAAAAAGGTTTTTTAAAAAGTGACTGTAAACAAATACCCTAGAAATTAAACATATTTAAAAATGATCATCAATCTCTGAGGAATATTTTGGGAAATAAAACCAACAACTATATAGCCCAGTTTTCACACCTATATTCAGAAGTGGATGAATTAAGGAAATGCCTGGGGTCTCACCAGCCAAGTCAAAATGAGGATTCATCAGAAATGACAGGTGGAGTGGGGACAGAGCTGAGGTCAACCCATACAGAATAGAAAACCAGTGAAGTGTTATGGAGTAAGCTAAGCACCTCCATTCCAAAAACCTGCTTGCTATTCCTCCCTATGACACTGTGGACACAAAACTCAAAGAAATTAATCCAAATAATCCTTGACAAAATTCTGAAACAAAGCTCCATTTCTCAACTCACCTTGGGGAAATTCCTTTATGTAGCTCTTACACCATTCAATAGGCATCTTATTGACTGCTAGGGACTAATGGTTAGAAGGATTACTCATCTATTAATGCTGATGTATTGGTTTTACTAACACAAGTACCTTAGTAACGCACATACATGCATGTAAAGATTTTAAAAATACCTACTTTTAGAGTATTTACAGAAGTGATTTCATGATAAAGATGCAGCCTTCTATGGGCAATATTATTTAATTTTAACTGGGCATGTTTGTATCACTTCCCCTAAATCCACCCAAAACATGACTGCTTCTCTAGCTACATATCATAGACTGGGAAATGCTTGCTTTGTGCATACAAAGCCATTCTCCTGGATTGCTTTCAGGAACACATTTTATGAGTGCTCTCTCTTTTTCACTCCTTGAGATTATACGCATATATATTTAAAAGATGAATATGACAAATAAATCTTCATAGATCATTAGCTAATACCATGAGGCTTTTAATCATTGAAAATCATAAGTGAACATAAAATATGTTACTAAGTTAAAATAATAAATAATAGCAGTTATGCATTTGAATTAGCTTGAGTTTTCTCTAAAGTTATATAAACAAAAATATGTTCTTTCTAATGATGGGCTCTTCACTTCATATACCATGTCTCATTACTTTTCAGTTACTGGCAGATCTTGAAAATAGCTCCATGTTTACTGGTGATCTTGAATGTCAGAAACTCCTGATAGAAGCTATGAAGTATCATCTCTTACCTGAAAGAAGACCCATGATGCAAAGCCCTCGGACAAAGCCTAGAAAATCAACTGTGGGGGCACTTTATGCTGTGGGAGGCATGGATGCTATGAAAGGTAACAGGAGCAAATGAATTAATTTAGCAAGTATTATTCAAAAAAGAAGATATATTCACAACATTATCCAAAATTATGAGGGTAGTATTTTTTTTTAATTTTCTTTCCTTTATTGATTTTAGAGAGAGAGGAAGGGAGAGGGAGAGAGAGATAGAAACATTGATGAGAGAGAACATCAGTTGGCTACCTCCTGCATGCCCCCCACTGGGGATCAGACCCACAACCTGGGCATGTGCCCTGACCGGGAATCAAAAGAGCAACCGCTTGGTGCATGGTTTAACGCTCAACCGCTGAGCCACACTGGCCAGACTTGAGGGTAGTATTAAAGTTATATATAAATGTAAGCATCTAAAGCTAATTTTCATAAATAGGGTACTTTATGTAATTTTGTAACTTTTTTTCTTACCTTAAGGGATATAACCCTTTTATTAATGTTAGCTAAACTCTTAATAGAAACTTTATGGCAGAAAAATTTTAAATTTGAGTGTTCACTTTGCAATATAAGATATTTTGGGGGGAAAACTTGTTTAAAGTGTATTATGAAAAGAAGGGTCGAGGCCCCTAACTCCTCACTGTCAATTTCCTGCTAGATGCTCAAGGGCCAGTTAAAAAGAACCTTGATGTACTGACAAAAAGAACAGAATTTCAAACCTGGAATAAAGGAATGGTTTTACATACGAATTTTATCAAACGAAACAGGGAACAGTTTCTGAAAGCCAACATATCTACTCTGAACCCTTCTGAGAACGGATTTTTTTTATAGCTCTATCTTTTTACACTTGATTTCTCAATCTGTAGTCCCATGTTGCCAAAACAATGAGGCAAGGATTTTGTAATTAAGAGTTGATTGTGTAGGAAATAAAACCAATTCACTTAACGTTAGTCAAATCAGCCCTGGATGGTTTGGCTCAGCAGTTAGGGCATCAGCCCGCGTACCAAAGAGTCCTGGTTTCTATTCTGGCCAAGGGCACATACCTCGGTTGCAGCTCATCCCCGGCCCTGGTTGGGGTTGTGTGGGAGGCAAGCAATTGCTGTGTCTCTCTCACATTGATATTTCTCTCTCTCTCGTCTTCCCTTCTACTCCATCTGAAGATAAATGGAAAAATATCCTCGAGTAAGGATTAAAAAATAATATTAGTAAAAAATAAATAAATAGAAAAAATTTAGCCAAATCATACATATAAATGTCATTTGATACCTGTAGAAAATGATGCAAGAGTCAACGTTCTGTGTTACTAAAAGTGATTATTTTTCTTATATATGGAACTGGTAATTGGAATATCATATAGGAGATAACACCAATTAACCAAAAAACAGTAAAACAAGAGCTTGCAAATGCAATTATTTCTAAAGTAGTAGAGTATCTTTACAGAAATAATGTTCTTCAGAAAATAACAAGAACAATGAGATCCTATAATTAATTTCAAGTCTGGAAACTTGATATTTTATTGAATTTTGTTCAACAGAATGAATAATAACTGCCTTTTAAAATGTGCCTTGTTTCATATTTATATTAAAAGGGTACTAAATACAAAATACAAGCATAGTTATCCTTAGTTTCTGATTTAAAAAAAAAGAAAACACCTAACCTGCAAAGTGAGAAATGGAAAATTTTGTGTTTATTTGTTTGGTTTTTATGTTTACTTTCTATCTTTATTTCTTTTTCAAGCTCCTGTTAGTTAACATTGTATAAGTGAATGTGTTACAAAAATGAGCTATAAATCAGACAGAGAAAAACAAATAATGTGATTTCACTTACACATGGAATCCAAAAAAAAAAAAAAAAAGAACAAACAAAGCAAAACAAAAACAGACTCATAGAAACAGAAATCAAAGGACTGGTTACCAGAAAGGAGGGGGTGAGGTGATAGGTAAAGAAGATAAAAGGGAATATATTTAGTCAACAATATTGTGATAAGTTACAGGGTGACCGATGATTACTAGAATTAGTGGGGTGCTTACACTGTAAGATATAAAAATGTCAAATCACTATATTGTACACCTGAAACTAATATAACTAATATAATATTGCATACCAACTATACTTAAATTAAAAACAATAAAATAAACAGTACTGAATATCTATAACTTTTAACTGTTTCTAAAAATAAGTAAAATGGGCCCTGGCCAGGTGGCTCAGGTGTTTACATCGTCATCTCAATACACTAAGGTTGCAGGTTCGATCCTGGTCAGGGCACATACAAGAGTCAACCAATGCATGCATAAATAAGTGGAACAACAAATTGATCTCTCTCCCAACCCACTTCCTCGCTCTCTCTCTAAAATTAATAAATTAAAACAATTTTTTTTTTTAATGAATGAAATGTATGCCTCTAATCCCGTGACTCCATTACCACGGTTTGCTGTGGAAGGAAGTGAAGCCATCATTTTGAGAGTCTCTGAGTACCTAGTGTGTGGAGACATAACAGGCTTTACGGGAAGCTACAGACGACTACAATAATAGTTAAGAACTCCTACTTTTGAGTACCTGATCCTTGATTTGGATTTTGCAAACATCATTTCTAATCCTCACAGTAATGCTACAGAATAGATTTTATTACCCCAATTTTGGAGATGAGGAAACTAAGGCTATTTAAGGTTAGACAACCAACTCAAAGACAAATATATAGAAATACTGGAAATGGAATTCTTACTCGATTCTAGGTCTCTATTTGCTGTACTACCATCATTTTAAATTTTTTTTCTTTTATTTTTTAAATGTTTTTATTGATTTTTAGAGAGAGAGGAAGGGAGAGGGAGAAATATCGATCAGCTGCCTCCTGCACGCCCCCTACTGGGGACCAAGCCCGCAACCAGGACATGTGCCCTGACTGGGGATGGAACTGGGACCTCTCAGTCTATGGGATGACGCTGTATCCACTGAGCCACACTGGCTGGGCTATTCTGCCACTATTTTAGAAGAAAAAGGAATGACAACAACAAAATTGACCCCTCTCTTTGCAAGTTTTGGACTCTATTGAAAAACCAGAGTTAGCCCTTAGGAGAATAAAAAAGAAAAATAAACAAAGAAAAGAAAAATAAACCCTAAGTACAGCAAAAACACTAAGGGGGTAGCATTTATCTATATAAATCAGTATTACATCTAAGAAATGTACCTGTTCAGGTTATTTCACAAAGCTGTAAAAATAATTTGTATATTATGTGCCTTTTCTTACAATGCCTTGTTTTATTTATCTTTTTTCAAAGATACTTTCTGAACTTTTACCTTTTGATGTTTAGGAAATACAATACTTCCTCAGTCTTTAATTTCCTCTCTGACTCATACAATTGACTTGGAATTAGTTGTTAAAAATAGATATCTCACAAGTCACTCAAGTTAACTATAACTCCTACCACATATATTAAAAGAATCATCAGAACGTTGTATGAACACAAAGTAAACATTTAAAAATTGTTAAATGGTAAACTGAGCTTTTGTTCATACAAGTATTCAGTAACGTTTTGTTTATTAAAACAATGAATTCTGAGAAACAGTGTAACAGGGGGCACATTAAAGACTACTATAGTCATTTTTAGATTATTTTAAAAATAGATTCAGGAAATTAGTAAATCAGATATATTCATAATTACAGGAACTATCCTGTACTACAAAATATGGTTGGTTTTATTCCCTCTTGAATGAATCATAAATGAGGGTCGACTAGAAATGAATTGAGAAACAATATTTATAATGCTGTAAGGCAGTAGCTCAATCTACACAGAAAAATTCATAAAGTGAGTTCTTAAGAGAGAGATCAGTAAAGCAGTCTTAGTGTTCCCATTAAATATAGAGCTACCATACTCAGCTAGCCAGAGGATTTACATTTTGATTAGCTGGAGCAATAGTGGAGGTGGGCAAATGAAATCTTCAGAATTGAAAATATAGAACTACCAGTCACATATGTTCACAGATGTAAATAAGAGATGTGGGGTACCCCAGGTGATGTGGCTCAGTGGTTAGGCATCAACCGGTGCACAAGTGGTCGTTGGTTTGATTCCTAGTCAGGGCACATACTTGGGTTGCAGGCTTAATCTCTGGTAAGGGCCTTACAGGAGACAGTTGATCAATGTTTCCCTTTCATTGATGTTTCTTTCTATCTCTTCCTCTCCCTTCCTCTGTCTCTAACAATCAATTAAGAAAGAGAGAGAGAGAGAGAGAGATGTGTGGTAAATATATTTACTAAATTTAATCTAATGCAAAGAAAAAATTACCCTGGCATAAAGCAGACTTCTATACCTTTCAGTTTACATATTCTATATACAGCTGATTAATGTAGCTTGTACAATGTCCTGACTAATTACTTCACTATTAATATCATATCCATAATCTTAGTAATTAGTGCAGCTTAGCCTTCACTTCTTAATTTAAATTGGCTCTTTGATATATTCCACTGATGAAAAGAGTGTGAAATAAAAAGCTAAAATAGGAAGGAGAGGATAGAAAGACAGGTTTAGGAAGATTAGAATGAGGAAGTGGAAAGATAAAAATATTCAGAGAAAAATGGTTGACAGAGCAAAAACAATTGTGTGTTTTTAGTATTTCCAATTTAACAGTATAATCCAGCTATATTTAGTGTAATAAAGATACTCTGCTAGGTGGTGTTATTTGACTTCTCAGCAGTCTATGTAATCAAAAGAGCAATTTCTGATCTATAAATCAGCATTTAGCCAAATACGGTGAAAGATGCAGGGATTAAAGTGAAGGAGAAAATCAGTACCAGTGTATTCATATGTTTTTATTGTAAGAATGAAAACTTTTGAGACAGAAATGCATAGTACACTATTCACCAGAAAATACTTAGAATTAGAGAAGAAAAAAAACAACAAATACTATTTCCACTAATGCAATATACACAGAAAAACTCTCAGAAGCAACCATAGATAGAATATATATTCTGCTTACATCTTGACTTGATATGACCCCTTCCATAGTTACAATTGGCCAGTGAATATTATGCTTCAGGTGCTAACTATATTTTCAGTGTAACTAATGGATTATATTTTTGCAACAAATCTCCCATTAGAAGAACAAAATTGAGAAGTGTTTTATTATTATTATTATTATTATTGAGTTTTAAAAGTTAAGATGAACTCTCCTAAACCTTTTACAAGTGGTCTTAGGTATAGGTGTAAATAAAAATTATTTTATTGACCAAACACCCCTGTTGTATAAAATCAACTTTTACTAAAAAATAACAGCAGCTATTGTGAACAATGGTAAAATGAATTGCCTACAAAAATGACAATTTATTAGGAAGTAGTGACAATTTACTATGGTAGTAGTGACAAGATACTATGGTAATAAACTTGGTATTCCAGTAAGTGAATAGAAAATGAAGCTTTATTAACACATAAAGGTGATAGCACATCAAGCTTGTATTTTTAATTCTAATAAATAATAATATTCTTAATTATAATCTTTTGTGTTACCCATCATGAAATATTGTGTGAATAAACAACTCATTTAAAAGAAATTTTTCTTCCTGTTTCTTTAGTCATTCCTATTTTATTTTATTTTTTTACTATGTTTTTATTGATTTTTAGAGAGAAAGGAAGGGAGCAATAGAAACATACATATGAGAGAGAAACATCAATTGGCTGCCTCCTGCATGCCCCCTACTGGGGATCAAGCCCACAACCTGGGCATGTGCCCTGACGGGAAATCAAACCGGTGACTTCTCAGTCCATGGGACATGCTCGATCCACTGAGCCACACTGGCCAGGCTAGTCATTTCTATTTTCAATCAACACACAGACACATACCAAACTGAGTAAAATAAAAATTCATAAATATATTAAATGGTCATAGGTAATTAAAATCATAATGGATGTGTAGACTGTCAATAATAGATTCTAAGGTGTTTTGTTGTTGTAAAATATGATGTTTGACACCTGTATTAGTATTTCTAGTAGTATAGTATAGCCAAAAAAAGCCATTATGAGTGTATAAACCATACATATTAAATAAACTATTTTATTCTGACTCTTCCATTTGATCCAGGAGTGGTAAAATATTACCCTTGCATTGCCCGCCAGGTTGCAGAATCATCTGGACTACTTTAGTTTGAATTGCAATCACAGATTTTATTCTATAAATTATAGGTACATAAATATAATGTGAATGACGCAAATTAAATTTTTTGTACAATTGGTTTTTACCATTGTTCAACATCCCTCTAACAGGTACCACTACAATTGAAAAATATGACCTCAGGACCAATAACTGGCTACATATTGGTACCATGAATGGCCGTAGGCTTCAGTTTGGAGTTGCAGTGATTGATAATAAGCTCTATGTCGTGGGAGGAAGAGATGGTTTAAAAACTTTGAATACAGTGGAATGTTTTAATCCAGTTGGCAAAATCTGGACTGTGATGCCTCCCATGTCAACTCATAGACACGGCTTAGGTAAGACCTTAAAGTTATATGGTTCCTAAAGAATGTATAGTTAGTGGAGCTATTTAAAAATTAAATTCAGCTGCACATTATTGGGATATAGTAAATCCCTTGGTCAAAGTGTCTCCAAAATGCTGAAAAGCTTAAGCAAATGGTAAAAGCCCATAACACATTTTTCTTGTTTCAATGCCATATTTGTTATGAAGGATAAAAACTTTTAGGAGTACATTATTGAGGAACTCCAACTACAAGAGAGTTTTCTTCTAGGCTCAATTTAGAGAGAAGAACACTTAATCGTGGAGAGACCTTGTTTCTAGATAGATGAATCATGTTCCTTCCTATAATAGGCAAATCCATATTTCAGCAGAAAGCCTTCTGATGCAGATCCCAGGCAGGGGTATTTAGCAAAACCACTTTGGTTGAGAGCACTCTAAGTTTTATGTAAGCCAGAGGTTATAAAAAAGTTGAGGAAAGATGAAGTGGAGACTTCTAGAATAGTGGAAAACTGATTCTCCTGAATACCTGTCAGTACATCTTTGTTCATGCTAGTTTTCATGCAGTTTCAATATCACAGAATTTGCTTAAAATAAAAAATCAGGAATTTTCTTTTTTTTATAAATCCTCACACGAGGATATTTTTTTCCATTTATCTTCAGATACAGTGGGAAGGAGGGAGAAAGGGAGCGGGAGGGAGAGAGAGGGAAACATTGATGTGAGAAAGACACATCGACTGGTTGCCTCCCACATGATCCCGATCAGGGCCGGGGACCGAAGCACAACTGAGGTATGTGCCCTTGACTAGAATCGGAATCGAACCTGTGACTCTTTGGTCCATGGTCTGACTCTCCAACCGCTGAACCAAACTGGCCAGGGTTCCTTTTCTTTTTAAAATAAGTTTTACACAGCTAAAAAGTGGCAGATTCAGGTCTGGTATTATTTGCCCCAAATTATCTGATTAATATTCTATGTCAAATTATAAATGATAGACTATATTAATTATATTCAGTTCAGTTATTTTAGTAATTCCTAAACATAGCTTAGGAAAATATATCTTACAGAAAAATAATAACAAGTTTTTAAATCTCCTGATGTTTCTAAAGAGATAGGAGATGTGATAAGGATATACCTGAGAAGCTCATTGAGGTGGTGAAGACTGTATGGGGAGCAGCAATTCCATGTATTCCCAAAGCAGTTGAGAAGCAGTTAAAAAGGGAATATTTCTGGTATCAAATATAACAAATTTCTAATTACTCCTCAAACACCCTGTCTATTTAGTTATTTGATGAGAACCTTTTTTATCCCTACAATGAAGAACAGAGATTAGAAAGACCTACCACAGATAGCCTACAGTTCTGAGATTTATCAAAGATTGAGTGTCATATCTCATCTACTTCTTACATTCAAAAAATAGCATTGAAATTATGCCAGAAAAGAAAATCAGCTTCTCTTATCTATCACATCCCCAGAAATGTTGCATTCCACCACCTCCTTTGACTTTAGTATTACAGCAATGATACCTTTCCATGATTATGGAAACTATGCCCCCAAAATTTCTAGGGTTAAAAGAACTTATTTCGTTTTATATCAAGATCTGTAAATTATTCATGTGTACACAAAATCATTTAAGAAAAAAATCTAAATTTTTGAGCAGTTAGTTGCTTGCATAATGAAACAATACCCATTATATGTCTTATACCTAGGTGAGCCCTCATGCAGTTTTTATTCTTTAGGTGTAGCCACACTTGAAGGACCAATGTATGCTGTTGGCGGTCATGATGGATGGAGTTATCTAAACACTGTAGAAAGATGGGACCCTGAGGGACGTCAGTGGAATTACGTGGCCAGTATGTCAACTCCTAGAAGCACAGTTGGTGTTGTCGCATTAAACAACAAGTGAGTAAACCAAAACATGCATGGTCTTTGCTCCTGTTGCAAGTGCTACAGTGCTTCAGTGATGTGATCCATAGATCAATAAGCATTCCCAATAACCAGAATATCCAATTACCAATAATAACAGGCCTTGTTGGAACTCTCCCTTCATTATGATGGAAATACTTGTCTAAAATGAACATTTAATTAAATATTCTGTAGTCCCTTGCTATTCAAGTGTGGTCCTGGGACTAAGAACGTCAGCATTATCTGAGATCTATTTAGAAATGCTGAACTGTAGCCCCACCCTAGATCTTCTGAATCAGAATCAGCATTTTAACAAGATCCTCAAATGACTTGTATGCACATTAAATTGGAGAAGCACTTCGAGGCTTTCAAACCAGTCCCAGTTTTATCCTCAAGAAGCTTCCACTTATTACATCATAACTTACTCTTGATTTATCAAAACTTTGGCCTGTCTTTGTAATAGGGCAAGTTTTCATTTTTGTTCTTTACCACATACTCTCCTGAGCATTTCGGGTTCCCAACTCTAGAATTACATCCGGTCCCATCTTTCTAAATCTTACTTGCTTTCTGATCACTTGCTTACGAAAGGGCAAACTAATATATGAAAACCCAATGATGTGGAAGGTTGCTAAGAACTTGAATTTGTTATTTATTTCAATTAATTATATGTGCTTTCTGACAAGGGACCTTTGGAGACAATGACCAGCATATAGTAGGGACTTGAATGATGAGAAATTCAGACATGAGGATGAATCAGTGTCAGGGACAGCCTTGTGTGTCTGTACTGACTGTGCATCAAGCCAATACCTCATCACAGAAATGGGCTCAGTAGATGGATTTTAGCGCCTTATGCAAGAAAAAGTAGGACATGTCTATAGTTAAAGGGAGACTTAGCCTTACAGTGTCTTAGAGCTTGAAATACTCTGAAATCTGGTTATCCTGGCCTGACCTGAATGACTATCAGGTGTCTCAGTAACAATCTCTTACCTATTACTATCCATGACAGCTGAACATGAATGGCAGTTGTAGACATATGACTTAGTAAAGTTTCTGGGAGAAATGTCATAGCCAATATATCTTCCTAGGAAAAAATCTGGTTTCCAAGTTCTATTGTATTTTCTTAGTCATTTAACAAGTTAACGTATTCCTAGTGACAATTATATTTTTTAATAAATAAACTAGTTCATAAAAACAACAGGGATTCTAATGCTAGGCAGTTGAACCTAGGTAAAATTGTAAGGTTGCTTTTAATGCGGTATAATGGACAAATATTGCCAACATTTTCAATATCTCTTCTTTCTCTGTACGTAATTTCCCATGGGATCTTTTCATCTATTATGTCAAAGTGACTTTCACAAGTTTGGAGTAGGGTAGACCTTACTAAGTGTCTTCCATTCACAAACTTAGGCTGTCTGCTAAAAAATACTAAGATAGTAGAATATACAGAGTGGGGCAAAAGTAGGTTTACAGCTGTGAGTACGCAAAACACAGAGTTTATTATTGTGTTATTTTCCATACAAACAACTATAAACCTACTTTTGTCCCACCCTTTATAGTCAGAGACTTCAAATTCTTTGTGCAAGGTAGCTTCGCTTTCATTCTATACAAATTAGAAAAAACACACACTTCTGTTTTGTTTTGTTTTTCTAGGCTATATGCTATTGGTGGACGTGATGGAAGTTCCTGCGTCAAATCAATGGAATACTTTGACCCACACACTAACAAGTGGAGTATGTGTGCTCCAATGTCCAAAAGACGTGGAGGTGTGGGAGTTGCAACATACAATGGATTCTTATATGTTGTTGGGGGTCATGATGCCCCTGCTTCTAACCATTGCTCCAGGCTTTCTGACTGTGTGGAACGGTAAAATATTTCTATTTACTTATGTATGTATTTATTTGGTTATATTTTCAGAAATGAGAAATATTTTTAGGCTACCAGAAAGTAGTTTTCTGAATAAATGTTAATCCTTTCAGAGGATAAGTCCTTTGTAAAATTGTACACTCTTTTAGGCTCAAAATATTTTGAAGAAATCCTCCTCGTTGTGTGTTTCAGATCCATCAAAAGAAATATAGAAAGAGAATATGCTGTTTTTTTGTTAGTCACCCTATAACATAATGAGAAAATAGGATGTAAGAATAAAGAAATTTTATGCCAAGCTGTATCACTCAACCTATTCACCAACTCAAATCAAAATAACTTTACTGTTTAAAAAAGCAAATCAATCATCAAAGAATAAAGGCTTACCACCGCATGACATACAGAAAGAATTTCCTAAGGGAGGTGTTAATAATGTTCTGAACAATGAGTCTTTAAGTATTTCATTTCCCAAAGGTAATTTCTGTGAATGGGAGACATTTACTTAAATGAATAAAATATGGTATGTTTGTTAAAATAACTCAGTCACATGACTTTGTAGTTATACCATTTGAATTCCCTTGCAAGACAGAATATGTATATACAAACATATAATAGTAAAATCATATTAACATAAGGCCAAATGACAGATTTATAGTCAGTGAGGTTATCAGAATTCAGAAGACAGAGATCAGTATGGTATGTTGTCCTAAAAGAAATTCATGGAGTAATTAGAAGTTGTAGTTTGTAAGCATACACATGAATAGAGGGGATTTCAGGACTAGGAAAAAGCACAATCAAAACCATCGGTTATTTAAACATGTGTTCTTTCCTTTCCATGTATTTGTAGATATTTCAGTCTTCCTTCTGCTGTTGATTTATAGTTTAATTCCATTGTGAAAAGACATTGCATGTTTTCAACCTTTTAAAATGTAGTAAGACTTGTTTTGTGGCCCAACATGAGGTCTATCTTGGACAATTTTCCTTATTTCCTTGAGAAAAATGTGTGTTCAGATTTTTGGGGTAGAATATTTTATATTTACATTTTTAGGTCCAATTGGTCTATAATCTTGTTCAAGTCTTCCATGTACATATTGATCTTTTTTCTGTTTATTCTACCCATTATTAAAGGTGGGGAATTGAGTACTTTTACTGTTACTGCAGAGCTTTCTCCCTCCAATTCCCTCAATGTTTGCTTCATATATCTAGGAACTGTGGTATTTGGTCTTCTTATGTTAGTAATTGTTATACATTTTTTAACAATTGACCTTTTATCATTATATAATGTACTTTCTCTTGTAACACTTCTCATTTTAAAGTCTATTTTGTATGATATCAGTAGAGTCACTCCTGCTCACTTTTGGTTACTATTTGTATAGAGTATGTTTTTCATCCTTTTACTTTTAACCAATACATGTCCTTACATCGAAAATGAGTCTACTATAGACAGCATATAGTTTGATCTTGTTTCATTCTTTTTTTTTTTTTAACCATTCTTCCAAGGAATGCCCTTTGATAGGAGAGTTTAATCCATTTACATTTAAAGTAATTATTGAGAAGGACTTACATTGCCATTTTGTTATCACTTTTCACATGTTTTAAATCTATTTTGTCCTTTAGTCCTCTCTTTTTGCCTTCATTGGGTTTAGTTTATTTTTATGTGACAAGCTTTGATTCTTTTCTCAACTTATTTTTTTTGTGTATTCTATAATTATTTATTTTGTGGTTACTATGAGGATTACATATAATATACTAAAACTTTGCCAATCTATTTTAAATTGATATCAACTTAACTTTAATTACATAAAAACACTATTCTTACAGCTCTGCCCTCTCCCCTTTATGTTACTAACATAACAAATTATGTCTTTATATATTATGTATTTGTTTACATAGTTTTATACTTATTTTCATGTTTTTGTCTTTTAAGACCTGTAAGAAGTGGAGATGAAACCCCAAATTAACTATTTTTTTATATCTGTCTATGTATTTGTCTTTAGCAGAGGAGTTTATGTGTTTCTATGACTTTGAGTATATGACTTTGTATGACTAGTATCCTTTTAGAATATCTTGTAGAACAGATTTAATAGTAATGAACTTTTACCTATTGTTTACCTGGAAATGCCTTAATTTTTCTATCCTTTTTTGAAAGATAGGTTTGCTGGTTATAGAATTCTCAGTTGACAGGAATTTTCTTTCAGCAATTTAAATGCAGTATATTATCCTATTGCCTTCTGTCCTCTGCTGAGAAATTTGCTCATAATCTTATTGAGTATCCCTTGTATGTCACAAATTGCTCTTCTCTTGATGCTTTTTAAATGGTTTGTTTGTCTTTGATGTTCGATAGTTCAATTATACTGTTCCAGTGGCGTTCTCTTTAGATTTGTTCTACTTGAAGTTCACTGAGATTCTTGGATTTATAAATTCATGTTTTCTTCAAATTTGGAGAGCTTTTATCTATGATTTATTCAAATATTCTTTCTTCCCCTTTCTCTATCTCTCTTCTTCTTTGGGGACTCCCAAAATGCATATATTGATCCACGTTATTTTGTCTCATAAGTCATTAAGACTGTTCACTTCATTCTATTTGATTCTCAGACTTGATGACTGCAAATGACTTGTATTCAGGTTTACTTGTTTTAGTCTGCCTGAGTCTCCTACTAAATCCCTCTAATACGTTTTTCAATTCAAACATTTCATTTTTCAGCCTCAGGATTTCTGCTTAGTTCTTCTTTATAATTTATTTTCCTTTGCTGACATTCTAATTTTGCTCATTTATAATTTTCCTGATTTCCTTCAGTTCATTGTTTTCCTTTTATTCTTTCAGCATATGTAAGACAGTTGTCTTAATATATTTATCTTGTTAGATGCCTATATTTCTACAGTGATGATTGCTTGATACTGTGTTTACTTTTTATTTTGAATGAAATTTGTTTTCCTGTTTATTTGTATGCTTTGTGATCTTTTGTCAAAAATTTAGCACTTGAAATAAAAGATATGTCTCCCAGTCTTTGTAGATTGGCTGTATGCATGGGGAGACCATCAATAATTAGCAGGTCATGTTCTGTGCCTTGGATCAGCCTAGCATGAAAACTTGAAGTCTTCTCAGGACATTTTTGTCTACTGGGGTTATGTTTGTTCAATTCCCTGTACACATATTACTTTTAAATGTCTTAATTCCCTTAAGAGTCTCAGCCCTGCTGCTTCTTAGGGTCTTTGCTATTCTTCTATAGTCTCGAATCAGAAATTTCTTGCCCCAAGTGTTTTTGCATCTGTAATCTCCCCACTGCTGTGATGAGCTATGTGTACTATATTCATGCCTTTCCCTACCCTGAGATCTGTGAGCTCTGCCACTTTCGACTGACTGAGGTGTGACTTAGGAAACACAGAGAATACTCCCTTAGGCAGCACCCAGACAGATTAGATTGTTTCATATTAGATCTGCTCTTTTATCTCAGTTCAAGGAAAGGAACTATGGCTGGACTACTGATTTCTCCACTCCATGCCATGTCTTGCCAGGAGAGGGTAGGGCAAGGGCAAATAAAAAAAACACACTATTTCTTACTGATTTGTATGTAGCTTATTTTTCACTAAGCATTTATTTTGTTGCTGTGGACCTTTGATTTTGAGAACCCCTGTAAATTTATTTTAGCCAATATCTATTTGTTTATTTAATATTTCTTTGAGGGAATGAGGTGCTAGAACTTTCTAGTCTACCATCTTGAGGACAGTACTTCCCAGTGGTGCAACATTGAAAACAAATTATAACCACTTGAAAATCACATTGAGTTGCCTGTATATTTAAATTTTCAAGCTGAACCCACTCTTCTCTTGTTTATATCCAGAAGCACAATAATGAAATTAAATGTAATTACAAATGAAAAATACTTTGAAAGTCTAGTATATCCCTATTTGCCTTACAGAAGTGAAAGTTGAAGCCCTCTGTGGTTAAATACCAATCAAATAGTGGCAAAAGCATTTTTTTTTCCATATAAGTGAAGTTTTTAAAAGTTTGGAAACCAATCATATTTGACTTTCCATTTCAGTATAAAATCAAAGGTTCACTTATATTACACTCAGGACAATTAATATAATTAAACCTCAAGCCAATCATCTTTATTTTGATTAATACAGAATTTCATCATGTATTTTGAATTTTAAACATTTATTCTCTGTGTGTGTGTAAATAAGAAGAATCATTTTTTCTCTTTTAGAAAGACCAAAAGAATACAATATATAATATTCTACTGAAATTTTGAATTCACTAGACAAGTTATTAATGTTTTCTTTAGACCACAAAAAATTATAGACATCATACAATTCATAAAAGCTTAGGTACAAGCCCACCTGTGAGAAATTATATACATACACTCAGAAAACCCATACTTGTATTCAAAAAAGGTAAAAATAGTTTTCATTTTAAGTGCGGTACAGACAATCCCCAGAAGAGGGGATGGTGGGGGAGAGATAAACCACAGAACTTATATGCATGTGTGCATGAACAATGGACATGGACAACAAAGCTGGGGACAGGGAGGGGAGGGAGGGGGTGGGAGGAATCAGTGGGGCAAAAAGGAGAAACATCTGCAACAAAAATAAATTAATTCATTAATAAAAACAGTTTTCATTTTAAATAATGATTTAGACATTAAATTTTTTTATCCTCACCTGAGGACACTTTTCCATTTTTTCGTCCAGATAGAATGTGAGGGAGGGGGAGGGGGAGAGGGAGGGAGAGAGAGAGAGAGAGAGAGAGAGAGAGAGAGAGAGAGAAACATCGATGTGAAAGGGACACATCGAGTGGTTGCCACTTGCACGACCCAACTAGGGCCGGGGACAAACTGCAACCGAGGTACGTGCCCTTAGCAGGAACCGAACCCGGGTCTCTCTGGACCACAGGCCGACGCTCTAACCGCTGAGCCAAACTGGCCAGAGCTAAATTAAATTTTTAAGCTTGTAAAAATATTTATGTTCCTCTACCAAAGAATAACTATAGCCCTCTCTTTATAAAACTGTTGATAGTGGACAACACTAAATCACCTCCTATAAGCTAAACAGACAGTATCAGAAATTATTGCATTTGGGAAAATTTATTTGATCAAAAGTACAAAAAATATCTATGCAAAAATAAGTTTGCTATCTTAAATTTCTGTTATCACTAAAATCTATATTGGAGTGATAAATTCATGGGAGGCAGAGGTCACAGAGAGATATTGTTATGGATAATTTATATTGTTCTTTATAGAAATATTAAAAGTTGTCTAAAATAATTTTATGTATACTAACCGAATATTGTACAAAATTATACATAGTAAATAAGAACTCATAATGGTTTGTTACTATGAATATCAAACCTGACTTTTCAAAAACCTCATCTGAATTAAAAGTTATATTGTATAAATATATAGAGAGAGACAGATACTTTAAGCTCTAATTATAATAGCAATTTTCCTGTAATAAATCTAAATGAGTAAGAGATTTTCTCTCTGTATAACAAAGTCTATACCTTTTTCCCATTGCAATTTTGGAGGCTTGTTCAATCTTATTGGTATAAGTTGTGTTGCATTTGCTTGGTTCTTTGTATTTAAATGTGTGAGACTGTGAAATGAGGTTAGGTCCAAAAAGTGTATATTCCATAAGGAAAAAAAAATCTAAATGCATAAAATATTTTAATTAAATCACCATCTTCTCTCTCATTAATAGGCCAGCACTTTTCTGGCTTTATATCATGAACTCCTGAACTTATGGAATTCTGTGATGAGGTCTGAGAGAGAAATCGGGCTGCATTTTAGCACTGTATAGTGTTTATGGTAACATTAGCCTTACAATGGCTTGAAGTGTCTATACCAATTTAAATGCACATTTACACATACAACTAGAAAAATAAAAAATCAGTTCATATTTTTATATAGAAAAGTTCATAATGCAGACTATAAAATTAAATATCTACAAACATGTCCTAATAATTAAATATGTAACCTTATTTCATGATATAATTACATTTCCATATGTACTAATTTTTTAAAAATTCACATACACTTAAAATTTCTTTAATGGAGAAAAAGAGCATTTTGTACATACCAAAAATGTATAATATAGTAGTTAGAAGCACTTGATTTGGAGTCAGATATATCTGAGTTCAAATCCCAGGTCTACTGTTTACAAGTTATGTGATGTTGACCTTGTAGCTTTATATCTCTAAACATGTTTCCTCATGTGAAAAGTGATAAAACTTGTAGTATCAGCCTCTTCAGGCACAGTATAATAAATGTTAAAGCACTTAGCACATTGCCTTGTACATATTAAGTACTGATTAGAAGTTAGTTGCTGGTATTGTTTTTGTTTGTATCATTTTTGTAATCAGTATTATCATTATTCCCTTATTGTCATTTTCTGTGAAAATCTCTTGAGAAAATGGATAGTGCTGAAGTAAAATTTTCAAAAATATATATACTTATGACCTTGATACAAATATAAAATTAACATGTCAAAGATTTATGTTGATTTATTAACTAATGATGTAACCCATAAGATGTTAAAAGTGATTCAATAGAGTCTTGGAAGAAACAACATATAGACAGTTAGGAATGCTGAAAAAAAAATTTGTTAATGGATGTAAAAGTTGTTAACATCCTATAGAGAATATAATGTAATCCTTGGAGGTCATTATTTCTACAAGGTGGAAATTAATTCTGTCTCCATACAGTAAAATTCATTTATATTTTTATGTACAAGAATCATAAGAAAACTCAGTTTTCTACAACTTAATTTCTACACCTATAGAAATGTAAAACAGGCTTGTCAGTAGAAGGTCAATCAAAGGTGCACATTCTGTGGAATAAGATATTGGCTTACCCTACCCCTTACCTTAGGCATGTCATCCAATTAAGATAATCATTTCAATGAAATATTTCTTTTTTAAATATGTTATTATTGATTATTTTTTAGAGAGAAAGGAAGGGAGAGAGAGAGATAGAAACAGCGATGTGAGAAACATTGATAGGCTGCCTCCTGCATGCCCCCTACTGGAGATCGAGCCTGCAACCCAGGCATGGGCCCTGACTGGGAATCGAACCAGGACCTCTTGGTCCATGGGTCGATGCTCAATCCACTGAGCCCTACATGCGGGACCCAATGAAATACTTCTAAAACCATTGCATAAACATATGTTGGCTGGGTCAGAGATTACCAATTCTATAATGGAAATGAAAAAAAATTGAGGCAAAGAAGTCAAGCAAACTATCCTTAATTTCTCTTAATGGAGGAATAAGCTTACAACTACTTTCTTGTACTTCAGGCTCTATTTTAATTCCACTAGAACATATATACTTAAATTCAAAGTAAGAAGAGATGGAAAAGCAAAAGAGAAACAAAATTGGAGAGACACAAGGCTGTTTTAATTTGAAAGAGATGTAGTGACTTTTCTTTAACATCTCTTGTGTGTCTTTGCAGATAGTAACCATATTACAAATGTTTCTCTTCAAAACAGTCAACATTCTCCAAATTCCTCTCTTTAATCAAGCCACATCCAGATAATATTAACATAAGCCATATTTTTTAGTATTAATTACTATGCAAATGCATGACAGTCTTAGGTTTTGGTTGCTAATCTCTAAGGAAATCTTTTTATGACCTCTGGTTCCCCATTCATGCATGCCGACTGCAGCCTCAGAGTACAATAGCAATTATGTTGAAGATGCAGCTTAACTAAAGCACACAGCTATGGATTTTCTGGTTCTGGGTTTACAACATCAGAATTTAAGGTGAAATGCTACATAACACTCAATGATGTGTACTGGATATTGAAGTTATCTCAATTATTGATAATCTCAGTCATTATTAAAAATATTACTAGATATGAGGCTAGATCAAATAAAAGCTGGGATCAGATGATTTAGAGTATGATTAAAGAGGCCAAAACCATAAATCAGAAGAGTAATAGAAATATAAAGAAGTTAGTAGAGGCTAATAAATTAATGTTTCTTTGGTAAAATACATTTTTACAAATAAATTTTACAAATAAGTCAAAATAAAATCAAAGAGCATTTCCATGTATAATTATCTGTTTTCTTTGATTGTTTAGCTCTTAGATTTTAGTATTGTATATTTTTTAAAATTTGGCTTCAAATTTTAGGAGAGAATTCCTAGCAAAGATTTTAATTAATATTACTTACTGAATTATCTTTCATTTTGCTTAGAGAAAGGTCGGGGATAAAAAATTAACTTCAGATTCAAGTGGAAAACATCCCAAGGCTCCTGAGAAGATAAATTGGAACTCTCATAGGGGAAAAATATAGGATAAGGTCACTCTAGCCACAAATAGTACTAAAACCAGGGTACGACATTCTATAAAACAAAAAAGCAATTATATTCAGATTTACTTAAAATGTGAACTCTCATATAAATAGGATCAGCCATCTCAGGTATAACTTTGATCTACAGAGAATAAGAGAAACATGAAAGCTCTCCAATCAGCATAATAAATGAGAGAGGGGGACTTTTTCACACAATGTTAAGACACTAAGTGAAATTTTCTCATAGAGAATATGAGTACTGACCAAGAAATGCATGTTCTTTTTGGAAAGAAAATACATTTTGATATGCTTTGAGTGTCCTCTGGTGGCTGAAGAGAGTTTTGTCATTTACTGATCTTTCACATTTATTAGTCATACTACACTTGCTATTTATAAGGTGTTTTAATTCTTTGTATTAGATAAGTATACGCTTTATTAAAGCCTATTTTTAATTTTAACACTATTGGACTTTCTTTCTCAATTGTATTCCTAAACCTCTTAAGGTATGATCCAAAAAATGATTCATGGTCAACTGTGGCACCTCTGAGTGTTCCTCGAGATGCTGTGGCTGTTTGTGCTCTAGGAGACAAACTCTTTGTGGTTGGAGGATATGATGGACATTCTTATTTGAATACTGTTGAGTCATACGATGCACAGAAAGATGAATGGAAGCAGGTACTTTTATTTAAAGTATTCAAATGGATATATTTCAGGTTTTAATAAAAATACATTTAAATATATGTCTGGAATTAATTCCGTTCTCTTCCTCTTTAGGATCTAACCAGCTTCTTTTAGTGAAAGTTGTAGTACCTACTTTATTTATGCTAAAGAAAATTACTTGAGGATGTAATTGATCATTAGATGATATGATCATTAGATTATATAGATCATATAGATTATGTAGATCATTAGATTATATAAAAGGGGGCAGAGCAGTCTCTTGACTTTATATAATCATTTATTTCACATTATAGTGAATCAGATTCAATAATTCAAGAATTTTACTATCTGGCCAACTTCCTATGTATGTATTATGACTTGAGAACCAAAGAGCAATGTCTTCATCCATAAATATCTGTTCCTTCTTATCCGCTATTTCCCAAAGACAAAAATATTTCAATCTCTCCTTATAGAGATTGTATAAACTGCAATAGTCATAAAATTTAATCAGTCATTCAAAGAATTTAGTGCATGGTAAGAGACTAGAATTAAATCCTCTCAAGATTGCTGGGTGTCCAACAGAAGAAGTCACATGGGCAGTACAAGGTGGAGCACCGAAAGGACATCTGGTGGATGCTGAAGGCAAACTTGATGCTTTTGACAGTTTTTCCAGTGATAGCTCTTGATTTATTCTAAAGTACCCAATGGTGTTTTGTTAATTAAATAATGGGTTAATAAAAATGAAATAGGACTAACTTCACCATTTCAGCAAACAGGCAAATCTTATATTTGGTGACTAACTTCCCTTATACTGGCTTCATGCCGCTCTGTACTCTACATAGTGAACTGGTTACTGTTTTAAATAAATATATGTTAATGTAATGATAGCTGATAATGGCTTCCTGTCTCTTCTACAGTTTGATTCATTAAGACCCTTGAAATCATTCAAATTCTTCCATGTTGGTAGTATCAATGCTTAGGACTAGCTAGAAATGGAAAAAATATTTTAGCAAACAAGGAGTTAGGTCAAATACAATAGTCAAAATGATTATCTAAACTGGTGGAATTTACTTTTCTGAAAATTGTAGACCAGTACCTAGGAGGCTTAGATTCTATTCCCAGCTTTTTACTCTTTTAGTGTGTGATATTGGGAAGAGTAAAAGAGAATTAACAAATAATGGGATTATCACTATGCCAAATTATTTTCATTTATTATCTTACTTAACTCTAACAAAAACCTTGAAGGATCAGTATGATTAGCTGTAATTTTTCAAGTGAGAAAATTACCAGAGAGGTGAAACTTACTGAAATCGCCTGCTCCTCAATCTCAGATCGACATTTTTTGAAAGACTGTGTTTTTTCTACCACACTAGACTGTTATCTGGGCTACATTTTCCCTTGTCTTTATACAAGGTGGAAGTTAGACCAGAATAAATAAGGACTGCGTCAACTCTGATATGCTATATTATGCTAAATGAAAAATTCATTTAAACATCATTTCCTTTTCTGTTTTTGTTTTTTGTGTTAGGAAGTTCCTGTTAACATTGGAAGAGCTGGTGCATGTGTTGTGGTGGTGAAGCTTCCGTAAAGCTATCTCATCAAACGGAAGAAAACCTGATAATTTTAAGAAATGGAGTAGGAAGAAAAGAAGAAGAAAAATGTTCTTTTCTTCAATTAGTAGTCAAACATGAAAACTCTTGTGTCATTTTAATATGTAGTTATGATTGCTCTCATTTGTGAAACCAAAGCAAGGTTTAAACGTGAATTACATATAGGTGTTAAGTGTGTGTGTTGTTACAGCTGGTAATATACATGGAAATCTACTCCTTTAGGTTCAGCCTTATCACTTTAAAATCTTTCAAGGAAATAGATAGTGGCCAAGGTATGAAATGTTTTAAAAGCATTGCAAATTTTTAAGTTAAGAGTCTGAGAAGTTAAAAATATTTTCTATTTCAAATAGTAAAGGTACTCTATTATCTGGAACACAACTAATACAAAAGAGAACCTGGAGAGCTTAAACTATAGTCTGATTTCAGTAAGACATCATTCTCTTAGTCAAACAATATCCCAAATAGCTAAGTAACACCTCACATGTCTTAATGGAAAGCTTTTACTGTGTTGACAAAAAAAAAAAAAAAACATGAAAAAATTATTGGCATAATTTGTTATGATGATCACAGTATATTAAAATTTTCACAAACTTACTCTTTTACAGTATCATCTTCCAAGGCACACATAAAACTTAGGTATTCCTTACCATGTTGTCTTGTTAGATTTATTATCAGTAAAATATTACTGTAATTTCATATACACAATCTACACAAAAAATAGTGAATATTTATCATATTGATACAAACTGTGACCTCTGCTTAAAGTGTCAGGGCCTCGCTTGTATAGAAAGTAATATTCTCCTCAAACATTTGTGTGAATTCTGTCAACACCTACCATTAAGTTTAACAAGTTTTCAAAAACAGTTTTTAAAGTATGGTAAAACTGAGAAGATGCTCTACAATAGTAACACACAGAAACACCAAAATGTTTGATATCCAAGGTAAATTCTGTATTTATCTTTTATGTAACAATACATGCTTTTTTTTATTAGTTATAGCCATCCAGTAGAAAATGTTAAGGATATGCACACCACAATAAACATTTTTAAGGAAAAAAAAAATAAGTTTAGTTGGATAGTATTTTACCTTTAAATTTTTATTCTCATTTATCCTATTATAAAAGTATTTAAGATAAAATGTTGCAAAAACCTTCTTGATGAAAGCAACTTTTCAAGTAAATGCACAATTTTAGAATTTCTGCAATATGTTCTTTTAAATAGGCTTTGTATTGTAGTATGTGAAATCAACAAATAAAATCCAGAGAGAAGCTTATAAAGTGTCCTACTACATCTTAAGTTTTCAAAAAGAGCAACATAAGTTGTACAAAGTATTTGTACTTTAACAGATTGAATTTAAATAAAATCTATTTCCTCTGGTTATAAAGAGTGTAGTTTTAGACGGTCAGATGCAGCTTGAATTGACTTTTTAAAATATTGTCCCAGTAGGTAAAATACTTTATTTAAATACAAAAAAAAAAAAATACAGTTTCCTTCCCTTGTTTTTTATCCCTGCCACTGTCTTTAATTCTAAATAGAAGGGTATAGGCATCTTGAATTCTAGGGGTAGAGATGGAGATATAGAGATGCTGTCAAAAATAAACAAATGTGCACACACACACACACACAAACACACACATACACACACACCTCTGTGGGACATTTAAATTTATGCTTTACCCAAGTAAATGTAGAAGTAGAGTTACATAAACCTTTGTCCCTAGAGCACAGCTTGGCATGTCAATTTAAATTGGAGTGGGAGCCAGTGGGGAAAGGAAAGATCAAAGGACTCATCACAGTGGAGCTTGCCAATATCCAGTCACATGTCACCAACAGGGAGATCATATCCAGAGTAAAGCCTAGTCAGGCAAGTGGAGATTGAATACCATCTTCTTGGTCAAACTGGGCTTGCTTCATTTTGATCAGGTATTGACTATTAGGAGAGAGATGTATGTTGCCCAAAACTATTACTGCACAGTTGCATTTGAAAACTGTGCTCTGTCTGTGGCCTAGCTGGACTGCCCAAATCTGAGCGATCTGAAGTCAGAATGGATCATTGCAGAGGATGGGGGCACTAAAACATAACTGCTTGCATCTATCAAATCTAGTTGGGAAAAGGAGTTAAAAGGGCAGGTCCCATGTTACTATGATGTAGTAAACATGACCCATCAGGCTGGTTGAAGATAACAAGGATAAGAAAGGAAGTTAATAATTTATATATTCTTTCAATAAGCATAAGGACAGACCTATTTATACATTGTACTCAGATTGGAAAGGAAATGTTGGTTCTTGATTTTTTTTTTCTTTGTAATCTTTATCACCTTGCTCAGAATCCCGCAGTCTGCTACCCTCAAACTGTAGCATGAAGACTCGCCAGACAACATCACCAACTACTTTTCCTGTATTTCTACAGGGCATCCAGGGACTTCCAAATACCTTCTATACCGCACAGGAGTTGAAGGAGACTCTGGGGCACTAAACATGATTCCTCCTTCTGCCTAACTATGACATCCATCAACTTTACTCAGATGTGGTTGCTGTTCCATTTTGATAGGGAAGGAACACTGAAAAAGTCTTCTCCTAGAGGGGACAGAACCAAAACTCTGATTTGAGATGTTTCCCCCCCTTTTTTTTAAGTTCTCTAACAAGACTCCTACCTTGAGGAGGAAAAAAAAACAAACATAAAACACGTTTCCTTAGCTGTCATCATTTTGTCCTCTTTCTCTTAGGACAGTCATGTGAAGTAGAGGGACAGATTTTCCAGTTACTTTTCCTCATTTTATTGGACTTCCTGTCCATCACATACCCTGTTGCTGGAGACACTAAGCCACACCCAAGTGATGAACAAAGTATCTCCTCCTCAGTCTATAAACATACTCCATGAACTTCCTATTTTACAAATCTGACTCTCCATGTGTCAAAGAAAACATTAAAAATGTGTTTATAGCTTTTTAAAAAAAAAATTCTTGAACAATACTTGTTTTCCAAGATTGTTGCCTGCTACAGACTAGGAAAAACAATCCTCTTCTACATGCTAAAACATTAAAATTGACATATTTAATTGCATTTCTGTTATAATTCTAATCCCTCCCTTACACACACACACATACACACACACAAACACACACACACACTGGAATATTACGCAGCAATAAAAAAAAGAATGAGCCCTGGCAGGTTTGGCTCAGTGGTAGAGCATCGGCCTGCGGTCCAGAGAGACCCTGGTTCGGTTCCCGCTAAGGGTACGTACCTCGGTTGCAGTTTGTCCCTAGCCATGGTTGGGTTATGTGGGTGGCAGCCACTCGATGTGTCCCTTTCAGATCGATGTTTCTCTCTCTCTCCCTCCCCACTCTATCTGAACAAAAAATGGAAAAATATCCTCAGGTGAGGATAAAAAAAAAAAAAAAAAGAATGAAATCTTGCCATTTGCAACAGTGTGGATGGACCTAGAGGGTATTCTGTTAGAAGAAATAAGTCAGACAGGGAAAGACAAATACTGTATATTTCACTTGTATGTGGAATCTCAAAACAAACATAACAAATGAGCAATCAGTACAGAAACAGACTCAAAGAAATAGGGAACAAACTGAAGTTGGTCAGAGGAGGGGATGGGTGAAAAGCTCAAGAGAAGTAGGAGGCACAAACTTCCAGTTATAAAATAAATAGTCCTTGTCTGGCAGGTGTGGCTCAGTGGACTGAGCATTGTCCCATGGAATGAGAGGTCCCGGTTCAATTCCCAGTCAGGGCACATGCCCAGGTTGTGGGCTCGATCTCCATTGGGGTGGTGCAGGGGGCAGCTGATCCACGTTCTCTCTCACATCGATGTTTCCATCTCTCTCTTCCTCTCTCTCAAAAAAATAAAATAATAAAAACATTTTTAAAATTCATCTTCAGCCCTGGCCGGTTTGGCTCAGCGGTTAGAGCGTCGGCCTGCGGTCCTGAGAGACCCGGGTTTGGTTCCCGCTAAGGGCACGTGCCTCGGTTGCAGTTTGTCCCTGGCCCTGGTTGGGTCGTGCGGGTGGCAGCCACTCGATGTGTCCCTTCACATCGATGTTTCTCTCTCTCTCTCTTCCTCTCTCTCCCTCCCGCTCTATCTGAACAAAAAATGGAAAAATGTCCTCGGTTGAGGATTAAAAAAAAATAAAATAAAATTCATCTTCAGATAGAGTGGGAGGGAGAGAGGGAAGAAGAGAGAGAGAAACACTGATGTGAGAGAGACACACAGACTGGCCACCACCCACACAACCCCAAACGGGGCCAGGGACAAACTACAACCCAGGTACGTGCCCTTAGCAGGAACCAAACCCGGGACTCTCTGGTCCACAGGCTGATGCTCTAACTGCTGAGCCAAACAGGCCAGGGCAACAAAAACATATTTTTTTTAAAAGTATGCTGGTCACTTCCGGTCAAGATGGCGGCGTAGGTAAATGCAGTATCACGTCCTCCCACAACCACATCAAAATTACAACTAAATTATAGAACAACCATAATTCAGAACCACCTGAAATGGAGCTGAATGGAAGTCCTACAACTAGGAGATAAAAAAAGCAGCCACACAGAGACTGGTAGGAGGGCGGAGGCACTGACAGGCTGGTCCCACACCCACGTGTGGTGGATAAAAATCAGGAGGACACCTCGGCTGGGAAGGTCCTTCCTGAGGAGTGAGGGGTTTCCATCCCACACCAGGCACCGAGCTCAGGGTTCTAGTGCCAGGAAGAGAAGTCCCCATAATTTCTGGCTGTAAAACCAGCGGGAACTGAGGCAGAGGGAGGGTGTGGCTGCAGGAGCCCCAGGCAGCTCCTCTTAAAGGGCCCATGTGCGGAGTTACTCGGACTTGCTCCTTTTGAGCTCAGAGGGGAGGCAGCTTGCAGGGTTCCAGAGGCACACAGGGAAGAACTGAGTTGTTTGGCCTCGGGATGAGGACTGGAGAGGCAGCTTTCTCCTGGACCGACATGCTGGTGGAGGATGATGTTCCTTTGGTGAGCTCTTCCCTGGGGCAGTAGACAGGCACTATATCTTGGACTCCAGCAACCTAGCTCACACTGTTTGCCCTGCCCCAGAGATTCCCTGAGGCCCCGCCCCATCCAACTTTCCAGCCCACCCAAGCTGTTTCCAAAGGCTTTACCATAGGATTGGCCTGTCTTGGATCCTGCCTCAGAATTTTCTCTCAAACAAGCAGCATCTGGTCTCACTGAGCCCCATACCTCTCGTTAAGTGACCCCAGGCCTGGCACTAGAAGCAACAAGCCTTGGTTCACAACTTGGCTTTTCCTAGACATCCCCAAGCCCAGCACAAGAAGCAGCCATCTGCAGATCACTCTGTAGCTTATGCCGGGTGGCCCTGGAGAGAACACAGGCAGACCTTGTCCCAGAGCCAGCACACCCAGTGGACAGCTTCAGACCACATTTAAACACCACCACCCAACCACCCCCACAAGTGACACACTCAATGAGTGGACTCAGTGGGTACCAGAGCCCTGATGAAGTAAGTCTTACTCTGTGTGGTGAGCCCCTACACAGCTAGGTAGTCAGAGGCCAGTGACTAGTGGGCACAGCCAGTCCTTGCAGCTGATCAGCCTGAGTAAATCCCTTCCCCTGATGTGCCAACAGCAATCAAGACTCATTTACAACAGAAGGGTGTACAGTCCACACTAGGGGTGCACCTTGAGGGCCCAGGTGGGGTGATCAGAGAGGCTGTGCCACTGGATCCTACAGGACACCTACAACAATAGGCCACCCTGTGAAGCCTGGGAGACATAGCAACTCTACCTAATTCATAGAAATAATCACAGGGAAGCAGCCAAAATGAGGAGACAAAGAAACATGTCCCAAATGAAAGAAAAGGACAAAACTCCAGAAAAAGAACTAAACAAAATGGAGATAAGCAATCAATCAGATATAGAGTTCAAAACACAAGTTATAAGGTTGCTCAAGGAACTTGGTGAGACATTCAAGGGAGTTAGTGAGCCCTTCAAGGAACTTAAGGAGACCTCCAAGGAACGTAGTGAGAACATCAACAACATAAAAA